GTTGCTGGCGATGTTTATTGCTGCCTTGTTGTCACAGTAAAGAGACATAGGATTATGAACAACAACTTCAAGCTCCCCTAGAAGATTCTTTAGCCAAAGGACTTCAGCCACCCCATGTGCCATAGCTCTATATTCAGCTTCAGCGCTTGACCTTGCTACCACACTTTGTTTCTTGCTTTTCCAGGTCACTAGGTTTCCTCCCACAAATGTGTAGTACCCACTCGTGGACTTTCTGTCATCCACAACACCTGCCCAATCAGCATCTGTAAAGACTTCCACCTTTAGATGATTATGTTTACTGAATAATAGACCTGTTCCGGGATATTTTTTCAAGTATCTAAGAACTCTCTCTGCTGCCTCCATGTGTGGTTTCTTAGGAGAGTGCATGAATTGGCTTAGAACCCCAACTGAATAGGCAATGTCTGGACGGGTCATGGACAAATAAATCAGCYTTCCCACYAACCTTTGGAACTGTTTCACATCTTTCAGAGGTTCACCATCACAGTCACCCAACTTGTGGTCAACATCCATGGGAGTATCTGCTGGCCTTGCACCTAATTTGTCGATGTCCTGTAATAGAACAAGGGTGTATTTCCTTTGAGAGATAAATATACCCTTTTCTGAGCGGGCGACTTCAATCCCAAGGAAATACTTCAGGGGACCTAGATCTTTCACTTCAAATTTAGATGCAAGGATTGTTTCAATTTTTGTATTTATGAACTCCAACTTCTTGTAATGATGATATCATCCACATACACTATCAATACAGCAACTTGTTCCTGACATCTCTTCACAAAGAGAGTATGATTAGACTGGAATTGTTTGAAGCCCATCTGCTGAACTGCCATGTGAAACTTACTGAACCAAGCTCTGGGAGATTGTTTTAAGCCATAAAGAGACTTCCGTAGCTTGCACACCTTATTTTCACCATTCAGAAAAGCATTCTTTATGTCCAGTTGATGCAATTCCCAGTCAATATTAGCAACTAATGACAGGAGAACCCTAATTGAGTTCATCTTAGCTATTAGAGCAAAAGTCTCATCATAGTCAACCCCGTACACTTGGGTGTACCCTTTAGCTACTAATCTTGCTTTGTACCTTTCAATTGTTTCGTCTACCTTGTGTTTAACCGTAAACAACCATTTACACCCCACGGGGTCTTTCCCCTTTGGAAGATCCACCAATTCCCAAGTTTGATTTTTGTGAAGAGCATTAATCTCCTCCTTCATGGCATCTGTCCATTCGGGGCATTTTAAGGCTTCTGCAACATTTCTGGGAACAAGGATGCGATCAACTGCAGATAGGAAAGCTCGGTATGAGGGGGAAATGTGATCATAAGAGACAAAATGGGTAATGGGGTGTTTGGTAGTGCATGACTGACTCCCTTTCGTTGAGCAATAGGAATGTCAAGGTCATCCACAGTAGGAGCAGGGGTATCAGTAGGTGCAACAAGGACTGGACTTACCTCTTGGGAGTCTAACGGTGTCGGTTGCTCAATGTTTGGCTGCTCCACATCTCTATCACATTACTGATCTCTATGGCGTGTACGTTGGAAGACACGAAAGGGAGCAAGGTCCGGAATAGAAGGAAGAGATACTTGGCGGACCTGAACCTGCTTCTCCTCTTCCACACTACTACTCTCCCCCTGAGGAGAAGTAGGGAAGAATGGCTCAGATTCAAAGGACACATCCATAGACACAAAAAACTTATGACTAACAGGATCAAAGCACCGATACCCTTTTTGAGAGGAGGGATACCCCAGAAAGATACAAGGAATGGACCGAGGGTCTAACTTACCTCGAGATGGAGACAAATCATAGACAAAGGCACGACAACTAAAGACTCTCATGGGAATAGAAAATAAAGGGGACTAAGGGTACAATAACTAATGAGGGGCCATGTAGTTTAGCACTTTGGAGGGCATGCGATTGATGACATAAGCAGTTGCAAGTATAGCATCCACCCAAAACCTTTTTGGAACATTCATGTGTAACATCATCCCGCAAGCTACCTCAAGGAGGTGTCTGTTTTTTCTTTCTGCAACACCATTTTGTTGTGGTGTTCTGGCGCATGAGCTCCTATGAATAGATCCGTGGGAGACAAAGACTCATTGAGCTCACCATGGAAGTATTCTTTTGCATTGTCGGATTGGAAGATTTGTATTTCAACATGGAACTGCATAAATACCATCCTCTGGAAGTCTTTCACAATCTTTGAAACTTCGTCTCTACTACGCATAGGAAATACCCATGTATAGCGAGAGTAATCATCGATCAATGTGATAAAGTACTTATATCCGCCCTCAAAGATTACATTAGTAGGCCCCCATACATCAGAATACACAACATGAAAAGGAACACTTGATCTTTTATTACTTGCGTGAAAAGTTGTTCTACATTGTTTGCTCAGCTGACACGTTTGACACTAGAACTCTGACATTGAACATGACTTAAATAAAACCGGAAACAAAGACTTTACTATTTCAAAACAAACATGACCTAAACGACTATGCCACAAAAAAATTTGACTCTTATTTGACTGACTATGTGACTCTGAGGATGACACCAAGAGACCAGCTTTGTTGTCGAGAATGTAGAGACCATCCACTAGGCTCCCTCTACCAATTGTCCTCCCAGAAGTTAGGTCATGAAAAACACATGAGCCAGGAAAAAAGGTTACACTACAGTTTAAAGAGCTTGTGATACT